AGGTAGCTGGCAATATTTGGTATCGGAGACTTTTCCTCAGTTCTAGCTAAGGATAGAGGCGGATTGTTGGGAGATGGCAAAGCCAGGGTGTGAGCGAACCCAGGTGGAGATGGAACCTCCACCAGAGCTGGAGCCTCCGGTCGAACAAGAGGCTATGGATGAGGAATCCTTGCATGAGGAGGACTCTAGTGAGGAAACTTCCAAACAGGAGTCCGGTGGCGAGGTTCGGTCGTCTAAGGCTCGATTGGACGTTCTAGAAAGACAATTGGCGCAGACCAATGCCCTGCTGGAGACTCTCGTATGCAAGCTAAAGTGTAATGAGAAGCAGAAGAAAAAGCGAAAGACTGCAGATGCTGGTGGCGCAGAAGGTGTGGACCCTTCGGCAGGGACTGAGGCAAAACCAAACAAAGTCGAACAGACCGAAGTGGAATCAGTCCCTCAGGCAGTTCCCAAGTACAAACCAAAGCCCCCACCGGTCTTCAAGGGAGTGAACGACTATAAGGTGGTGGAGGATTGGTTTTACGATATGGAGGACTACTTCCGAGCGTTGCGGTTACCGAGCTCAAAGAAGGTCCCATGTGCAAAACTATACTTGGCAGATAATGCCAAGTCTTGGTGGAGAATGACAGAGGCCAACGAAGGACCGGTGGCCACTTGGGAAATGATGAAGGCGAGGATCCGCGCGACTTACGTTCCTTCAAATGCTACCTTGCATTTAAGGGACGAGCTGAGTAGGCTAAAACAGACCGAAACCATTCAGGAGTATGTGAATGGGTTTATGGCAAAGAGGATACTTGTCATGGACATGGGGGATATGGATGTGTTCCATGCCTTCATATCAGGTTTGCAAACCTGGGCTCGCGGTGAGGTGATGCGGTGGAACCCAACCAACTACAAGGAAGCGTTGGATGCAGCCATCAAGGTGCATTTCAACGATAGCCTGCGAAAGGAGAACATGACGGGGTTGGGATCCACATTTAGCAAAGGGGCCAAACCAAGGGGAACATATAGCAAGGGGAAATTCAAGAAGAGTTTCTCTAAGAATGAGTCCTCGGGGTTGCGAAAAGGCAAATCCGGTGGCCAGCGAACGAGTACGTGGGGGAGTCAAGCGAAAAGAGACAAACCCACGGATAAAAAGGTCAAGTCGTATAGCAGCGTGGGAAACAACATATGCTACAACTGCGGTGAAGCAGGACACTTTTCGAGGGAATGTCCCTACCCGAAGAAGGCCAGAGCCAATATGGCCATCAAGTCGGGTGAAGTCCAAACTGAGGTATTTGATCCAGTCCCTAACTCAAAGTTACTCATTACACAAGCAACTTTGGTAGAGAGTCGTTCGCGACATCTGCTAGCCCTCCGAGGGAAGCTCGGAGGTAGCTTTGTTAAGATCCTTATTGACACGGGTGCTTCGGATAATTTTGTGGCTGCAGACATAGTCCGGCAAGCTAGACTAACGGTGCAGCGGCTAGGCAAACCAAGGACTATAGAGTTTGTTCAAGGTAGCCAAAGCACTGATGAGGTACTTTGACAAGCGAGAGTCGAAGTAGGGACTTGGAAAGTAGACATGGACTTCACCGTGTTGGGCATGGCAGGATTTGACGTGATCTTCGGGATGGATTGGTTCAATCGGTTCATGGTAGCCCTACATGAACAAGGTAGGAACCTTGTGATACTGGCAAATGCTCAAGGAAGAAGATCTAAGGTGGAGGCCCAAGATCTAAAGGTAGGGCAAAGCAAGGCCAAAGATTCCTGCTTAAACCTGGTGTCCACGAAAGGACAACTCACT